CTCTCTCTCTCTCTCTCTCTCTCTCTCTCTCTCTCTCTCTCTCTCTCTCTCTTTCACACACACACACATAAATACAACCGTCTGAGTCCATCTAATGTACACAAGTATCTGATGTATGTGATCTTAGGGTTGAACAACAGAAGAGCTCCTCCTTGGAAATGACCATTTTCCCTACTCTCAGCCTTTCTCTGTTCTTTGTCTAGGCCCCACAGGCTTTCTCCCTTCCATGTTAGCATGTCTATTGTTGTCTTTATTCAGGTCTTGTTTAGGTAACAAGCTTCATGAAGAAGCTTCATGGGAATAGCCTCTGACATATTTTAGGAGACATGATCTCAGAGAAAACTTCCTCTGGTTCTTACAATCCTTCTGTCCCCTTTTCTATAACAATCTTTGAGATCAGGAACATTTGTATTGTATATATATCCATTGGGTACTATGTCATCTCTTGTTCTCTGCATTTCGATGTGGCTTTTACTAATGATCTCTGTCTGAGGGTTGAGAACTACATGTTATCTGTGTTATAAGAATAAACAGAACATAATTAGAAAGTATTCTGGTTCAGTAAAGTGGTAGTTGTAGGTTCTCTTCCAAGACCCATGACCACATTCGGCTTGGGTAGTTGACTAGATTTCCAGTTCCAGGCATGCTTTCTCTCTTGTTGGGTGGCTCTTAAGACTAGGTAGAGAGTTATTGGTTACTGCCAAGGTGTGTATGCCATGCTGGTCATTGTTGTGGTTCATAATCATCACAGTTGGGTGTGACTGTTGGTTGATTCTCTCCCTTGGAAGCTTGTATGGTGCCTTTTGGTACCATGAAGACTAGTCCTCAGGGAGGGGCTTTCAGGTCATATGCATCTCAGGTCCTCTGCGTCCTGTGTCCAGAGCATTTGGTATTTTCAGCAACGGGGGCTATCTTCCACCTCTGGGAGCCAACCAAGGGTGACAACAACAGCCTATGTTTTGGGACTCTCTTGGACAACCCTGACTCAAAGGAGGCTATTGATGCTTGGTGTTGAGGCTTTTATTAGACAGCCTGTGACTTTTGGGGGGATTACTGTCAGTTCAGATGGGAAGATTTTATTTATTCGGTATACATATGCATATACACAAGCTCTTGTGTATTATTTGTAGGTAAAGAGTTAACAGCATGATTTCTCATGACATCCTTACTGTTCTTTTACCCTCCTCTGTCCTTCTTTAATTATTTCCATCCCTCCCTCTGGTTAAAGTCCTTTTCCACTTCTCCTTTCCCTACTGCTTTCAAATGATTTGTACCCTGCTATCCCCCTACCTCCGCAATGGCCCCCTTTACTTTTCTGGTTTCTGCAGTTACTCCCTGTTACACATTCACATTGGAAGATTTGGAGCAGATGGCTGTAGAGCCAATGGCTGTAGAGCCAATGGCTGTAGTTATATGTATCATGTTTATGTCCTTGACTTTGTCCCGTTGGTCGACATGTCTGCCTTTGTGCCAACATCATATTGTTTTTCTTACAATGGCTCTATAAAGTATCTTTGTTTTACAGGACTAGTGGTTGATTCTCTTTGTAATAGATCTGGAGTGGCAATCCTGCCAACACTGCTCATTTAGCTCAGGATTATTTTGATTAACTGGGGTCTCTTGTGATTCTACAAGAATTTTAGGATACTTACTTCTATTTCTGTGAAGAATTAAACCGGGATTTTGATTAAGATTGCATTGAATATGATGACTTGATAGAATAATCATTTTTACAGTATTAATTCTACCAATCCATGAGTGTGGGTATCTTTCCATTTTCTAGTGTCTTTATCTTTTTTTTTTCTGAGATTTAAAGTTTTCATTGTAGAGGCATTTGACTTCCTTATTTAAGTTTATTCTTAGATATATTCTTTTTTCTGAGGCTGTTGTGTCTATATAGGAGTGTGTTCATGACCTCTTTCTCTGTATATTTGTTGTTTATGTAAAGAAAAGCTATTCATTTTTGTAAGCTGATTCTCTCTCCTGTCACACAATATGATAATAATTTGTAAGACTCTCAGTATTGGTAATTTTTGTCTTATAGTTTTGAAAGATAGGTTTCTTTTTGTTTCATTGAGATCCATGTCAAAACCAGTTGTATCTCCCTTTTCTATAAGAAACAGCACATCACTCTATAGTAGCTTTTGTGTGTGTTTATGTGTATAATGGGGTTTTGGGCAAATAGTTTAACTCCTTTTCTTATTTGTGTATGCCTAATTTATGACACATCTCTTTCATTTTTATTGCAACCTGGAGCTCAGCTTCTCCCAAGATAATTTTATTGCCTCTATTTAAAAGTGGTGAGTTCCAGAATTTGCCCTTAAGGCTGGAGTCAGGCCCATGCCATGCATGGCAGTAATGGTGAGGATGCAGTGTGTTCTTCAGAGGATGCTGGGTAGGTGCTGTATGTGACTCTCCTTTTCCCTTTCTGGCTTGGGTGACAGGGTACACAGAGTGTAGAATCTGATCTCCTTCCTTGTTTTTTTCAAGGTGGAGTTTGGACAATCAGTGGAAAGGACTATGTGGTAGTGAACTATTCAGAATCTATGATAACTTTTTGAAATTAAAAACCTTGCATACATCCATAAATCTTTATCATGGGTGCATACAGAATAGAAAGTCAGAGCAAGTCTTCACAGAATTCCGAGAATGTGTAAACCTTTTTGAGTCACACTTTTAGATCGATTTGGATTGTCTTTTGGAAAATTTGATAGAATTTAGCTCCCGAAGGAGAACCAAGAATTTAGAAATCTAGGCTGAGAATCTATATTATTTTTTAGTTCATTCTCATAGACAGTATAATTTAAGTCTCTGTCCCTAACTAATCCCCATGATGGTTTAGGCTCTAGCTCCAGGCTCTGTCCTGGGCTTGCTAGCTGCGTAACTGTGGCTGACTATACTTAATCCTTCAAGCCCACCTTTCCCTCTGTCCATAAAGATGAGAACACCAACCCTTGGAATTTGTTGTGATGGAAGGTGGAGGGTGCTGATTTCCTATGCCATAGTCTTAATCAGATGGCCACCCATTCTGCACCCACACCCACACCCGCTTCATGGGGTTTGTTCACTTCTTCCTGCAGAACTATTAACATTTCCCCTGGATGCTCTTTTTCCTCCGGAGTTGGTGGGACGATGTCAACCAACCTTGTGAGATACCTTCAAGGACTTCATGATGTGCGAGATGCCTTTATCTTGTTCCTTCTTCTTGTTCTCTTTCTAACTGACATTTTCTGACTGTAGTGCACACAGATTGACATAAAGCCAGTTGGAACTGGTTATTAGCTAAGAATCAAAGAAACAACAGACAGTACCTCACCAGTTCACGTTCTTGTCTCTTGGATTTGAGGGTGATGTTGAAGCTGATCTCAGAGAGGTAATTGTCAGGCTCCCATGTTGACAGTGGTCTGTTCACTGACCCTTCTTCTAGGGTGTTGGAGAGGAAGGCTGTCAGCGATTTGTGTGAAAGAACCTAAAATTCTTAACTCATACTATTTTTGAATTAGGAGTTGCTAGAAAGGAAATAAAGACTGGAATCAATCTTTATTTCCATTGAAATTGACCATTGCTTTATTTTCAAGTTACAAATTTCAAGTTACAAATAATCTTTCTAGGGGCTGTTGAAGAAAATACATAAGAAACTGCTTACGTGCAGGTTATCATAAACATGCATTTTCCACCAAACTTTAGTGTGTCCTTCTTTGGGACAGAGTTCTAGATCACATTCAGAAATGAGCATTTAGATGTGGCCCAGTTGGACAGGCTAATATTTTGAACATTATTGCTATTTGACTACAATTTCAGCCCAAGAGAAGACAGGGCAGTATATGTGATATGTTGAATAGTCATTAGCTTTTAAAACTATGATTTAATAAATTGGCTGTATTTATTTTTTATTTTTATTTTTTAAATTATTTTTTGTTTTTTTTTGAGACCGGGTTTCTTGGGACAGGAGTTTTCTTGTTGTAGCCCTGGTTGTCCTAGACCTCACTCTGTAGACTAGGCTGGCCTCGAACTCACAGAAATCTGCCTGCCTCTGCGTCCCAACTCCTGGGATTAAAGACCTGTGCCACTGCCGCCTGGTAGATTGTATTTATTTTTATTTTGTGGTGTGTGTGTTTGTGTGGTTTGTGGTATGTGTGTGGATGTGTGTGGGTGTTGAGGAGGCCAGACAAGGGTGTTGGGTCCCCTAGAGCTGGAGTTACAGAAGGTTGTGAGCTGCCTCATGAGGGTGCTTGAAACCCAAGACCCGCTACAAGAGCAGCGAGTACTCTTAACCACTGAGCCACCTCTTCAGCCCTGCTGGTTGTATTAATATTCATTCTCCTTGCATAGTTTATCAGCTTATATCTATTCTCTGATTGAAATTATACTAATGCCAGTGGATGACCCAAAGATGTAGCTTAGTTCATTGATAGACTTACAGCAAGTGACTGGTTTGTATGGGGCTCTGACCATTTTGGGTGTCTTGATCAGTGATCAGCTTAGAAATTGCAGTAGTGTGTGTGTGTGTGTGTGTGTGTGTGTGAACTGAGAAGATATTACATTGGTTAAGAGGCAGCACCACTCTTGAGAAGACCCAAATTTGTTTTCCAGTTACCCACATTAGGTGGCTAGTAACTGTAACTCTAGCTCTAGGGGATCTGATACCACTTTCTTGCCCCATGAGCACCCTCATGTAATTTAAAATAAATATTTTAAAAAAGAATCTCAGGAGGGGTTTATTACTTTGTCTATTTCTAGAGTATAAAACAAGAAAACTTAAAATATCCATGTTATTACCACGGTCCTATCTGAATAGCAAGCATCAGAATCTTAGTGAAATCTGGACAGTTAAAATTTACCTCCGTTGTAATACAGTTTTTTCATTTTGACTTTGCAGATACAGTCTTTAGAGTCCAGGAGAGCTTCTGGGTTCAACAACAGCAGCACAATCGTAACCACAATGCATCTTGTGTGTACAGCTTGGGACAGCATTCAGCAGCATCATTTTCTCTTTTCAGTTTTGTCAGGAGGACCGCTGCCTCAGGGACAGGAGTTTGAACTGTATGAAGTTAGATTTCACTGGGGAAGAGAAAACCAGCGTGGCTCTGAGCACACGGTCAATTTCAAAGCCTTTCCCATGGAGGTAAGAATAAGAATCTTGTAAAAAATCTTATAGCTTAGTAAACAGCTCAGTAATTTATGGAAGATCTTTGTTTTGAAAGATGTGTAACTCTTGAATTTTATGTTTATGCTAAGACAAAGAGTACTTGGTAGAGTCAGGTTGGGGTGGCTAATGGACCACTACCTGCCTACTTTCTGGGCTCAGAGTGAACAGGGGGCACAGGCCACAGAATGATCAGCGCTTATGCTGTCTCAGGTCATAGAGAACATGTGTGTGTGTGTGTGTGTGTGTGTGTGTGTCTCACCCCTGAAGAAATCCCTACAATACTTCTTTTTTTTTTGTGAATTCATATACATTCTTTAACACATAGTTGAAGTGTCATATCTCCAATGGTTCTTTTTCTGGGATCCTTGCCTAGGTTGAATTCTTCATCCCCTTTTAAATCTCCCATTGGATTTGATGGTTTCCTGTCATGGGCTTATCCTATGGATTGGCACATGTTGAGACCATGACTTCTTTGGCTCCGGTAGTTTGAGGACAAGGTTTCCTCTTCATTCTTCTGATGACTCTTATCATTACCAACTGCCAGGCTCATCGCAAATGTCACAAAATTTATGGGGTGATCTTATTGGTACAAGATTTGTTGTATTTAATTCCATAAGAAATCTCAGTTCTCCTCAATGTTCACTAGTTTCTAAAAGCCTCCCGTCTTTCCTCCTGGCCACCCTCATTCCCAGCCCTGTGGTTTTAATTAATTTCTAGGCCTTACACTTTAACTACATCAGACCTTGACTTTACTTCTATGTAGAATCATGTAGATAGTCAACTGCCTAACGGACTTTCTGTTTTAGATATCTGATAGACATTACAGAGTAATGATCATCTAAGACAATTGTGAAAAAGAACTGTTTTGAGGTTTTCTGAATGCTAGGCTTTTTTCTCTGTCCTCCACAGTTAGGATCTACTTCATATTAAGTATGAACTTATTCCTAGAAAAAAACCATGTGTAGATCTGTCTCCATGATTAGAAATCACTAATGTGTAATCTATATCTTACGTGGACTGGACAGGATTACACTGGAATATTTTTCAGGATCATCTTAATCGTTATTTTAAAATCTTCTCAGATGCTCTAGATATTGATTTCATTCAAAAGAAACCCAAGTTTGAAAAGTGAAATGTGAAATGCTTCAAGGATGGGGGGGGCACCCAAATGACAGTGAACTGAAGAGTGTAGGAGGGGTGCTGCAGGAGTTCAGCAAGAGAAGATGCCGTCAAGTTTCTGTTGAGGAAGGTTTCCTGTATCTCGTTGCTCTTTGTTTTTGCTTTGCCCTTCCTCCATTCCCTAGGCATAGAGATACCCTCTCATTTCTATTGCCTTAAAAAACATGTCATGTTGCTTCTGGCTCCTGTCCTGACTGTACCTGAGAAAGAGTGTATGGCCACACAACATTAAAGAGGAAAAAAAGACATCACATGTAGCCGTGGAGGATGGGAGGGAAGGGGGGTCTGGTAGGGGCTGGTCAGAGGGGAGGACAGAGCAAGTCCTGGCCTCCTGCTGAGGTTGGAAGGTCTGTGCCACTATTGTGTTTTAATTAGTATCAAAGGCAGAGGTCCTGGCAAAGATGGGCATAATGGGGCAGAGAGAATCACAGAGGCGATTCCGAGTCTATGCTTGTCACACAGTTCACAGCTGTGCGGAAGTTTTGCTATTTTGGGGTCAGTGGTCAGCTGGGGAGTCAGATGAGATTTCTGACCTAATGTTCAGGCAGGTTTATTCACTTGGCGTTTTAACTGCTCCATTTCTTTAAGTGCAGGCAGTGGTTTATTTTGAGTAAAGATTAAATTCTGGGAGTGAGGCTTTGCTTCTGTAGAGATATTTATATTGGGGATAATGGAATTACTAGCTTCATTTTTTTCCAATGTCGTTATGGGGTAGTATTTGTATTCTTTGTTATCCAAGATTATCTTTGGTGCAGTCCCAGGGAAAATACTGACATTAGTCATCTGTCATTTGTTTGGACTGATTCTATTGGTGTGTAAGTGCTGTGGCTTCACAGGGTTTAGAGAAGGATCTTTGCATTGTAGTTCTTAAAACTGAAGGATACGCTCCATGCTTCAGAGGATCTACTGATCTCCAGAGGACCCTCGTTCTGTCCCCAAGCATCCATGTCAGGTGGCTTTGAACTAGTTAGAACTCCAGCTCCACTTTCTTCAGACTTCCATGGGCGTTGCATTCATGTGCCGTAGGTAGGTGATGTAGGTAGGTGATAGTAAGGCTGGCTGGAGCAGTACTCTACTATAGGCCTTGGATGCCGTCTGACAAAATCGTTAGACTTTTGACTAGAGAAAATTTTGTTAAGTTGACTTATTATAAAAGGTTTTTCTCTGTTTGTCAGGATGTTGGGTCTGACTCATCACAGGGTGTTAAGTGGCTCACAGAGCAGGTCACAGAATGACTCTTTAGCCATTAGCCTCTGGAACGGCAACATTCCAACCTGCCACTTACTCAACTTTTGCAGATTCAGCTTTTTTCCAGGGATTCTCATTCCTACAGGCTTTGTGTTCTGCTTCTGTCCTCCATGGAGCATGGATTTCTGGCTTCTCTGAAATAGTCCAACAGCCATCCATCTGATTCTTGGTAAATCACTACCAATGTTTGCTCAGGAAAAGCCACTGTCACAACCCTAGGGGATGTGCTTTGATTTTTATGCTGGGCCAATTAAAAATAGAGTCAATCAGGAACCTAGCATGTGGCCAAGTTCTAGTTTTTCTCAATAAAAATATCACTCACCTTCTGCCCATAATGAGAGAGGAACTTTAATTGTTGAATTTAGGGAATACATGGTCTCAGAATAACTCACGGGCCTGAGTAAATTTGGCAGGTTAAAAATTTCTTTCTCTGAATCCCTCCAGGTTTATTGGTACTAGACCATAGCCTCCTCTCCTAGAAGGATATTCTATAGAACTGCCCATAAATATTTTCCCTGTGAGGTTCTTAAGTCTTGATTTCCAAAGCTGTCATTTTACATAGTGTTGAATAATTTTAAGAATTCCTCTCTCCTGCTAATCTGTAGAATTATTTTTTGCCTCTACTATTTTTGTTGATTAAAAATATTTACTTTTAATGACTTTCTGGCCTGAGATAGAACATCTTTAATAGTATTCATAATGTCACTATTAAAAATTAACTAATGTCAGCATTAAAGTTAGTTATTAGTTATTAGTGTTATAAAAATGTAAATGAAAATGTAAAAACTTTAGTGGAAAATGGGAATGTACAATTTTATAACTGTGAACCCAGAAGACTATACTAAGTATGAGCCAAAGATATGTCAAGTGTAAAAGACAGATTTAACCATGTGATAGTCAAGAAACTTTATCAAGAGGTTTTATGAACAAAGCAAAAGACAAACACAGCCTGAAGGAAAACAAGGTAGTATATAACATGTGTCATATTGTGTTTCCTTATGATACATTTGCAGTCCACTTAACCCATAGTAGTAGGCAAATAAATGTGTCATTTGGTTAACTGCTGCTGTCTGAAGTATTCTTACTTTTAGAGTGAAATATTAATGTTGAGAAGATAAGGCTTCTTATGCATTATTCTTGGAAGGTATAAGCTGGTAGACTTTTTGGAAGAGAGCTATAGCAATGGTCATAATTTTTTGTAATATTCTTTAAAAATTTTATATAGTTTATTTTGACCATATTCATCTCTCCTCCAACTCCTCCCAGATCCTCTGTGTTCTTATAATTTCTAGAATATCTGTTATTAGATCAGTTCTTTGACTGAGCCTTAGAATTTTCTGAATGTGTCGCGTCTCTTTTATCATTAGTTAATTCTGTGTTGTTTGTTTCATACACGTATATACTGTATCCTAATTACCTCCTCTCTTCCCTTCCGGCCTCTCACTCCTTCTTTTCCATAGATCTCGTTACTGTACTTAATTCATTCTTGTTTTATTTTATTATCCGTTGTGCTTACCGAGGGCCATCTGTGTGACTCTGGGTTTACAACTATCCATTGGCCAGTGGGCTCACTAGGGCATATACAACTGAAGACCACGTCCACCCCTTTCCAGAATGTCAGTAGCCAGTAGTTCTGCAGTAACGGGTGAGGCCCCACAAGGGCTTCCTTCATTCATGGCTGACTGTTGGCAGAGCTTGTCTTGGGCAGAACCTGTGAGGATAACCTGTGATGGTGTTGTGAATTCCTAGTCCAGCATCTGTGCTGCGCCGAGAAGGTGGCGTTTCGTAGCCCTCTTCCTATCATTAGTTGACTTTTACGTCCTTTGGCATCATCTTTGATGCTCCTTGAGCACGAAAGGGAGTGATTTAAATGTCGCATTTAGGGCCAAACCCCAAGATGTTATTTTCAACATCTGGGGAGCCATGAGCCTCTGCATTTGCCACTGTTCTTTTTGAAGTGAGGCTTCTCTGATTAGGGCTGAGAGAAGCATTTGTCTGAGTTTAAACAGAAATTTAGGAGATAGTGTGTCTACCTCCTTAGGCATGGATTTTTGACCAGGTTTGTGGTACTAGGCATTCCTTCCTTCCTGTGGGGCAGGCCTCCAATCCCGTCAGGGTACTTGGTTACCTCCGTAACAGTTGTGCCTCTGTCACATAGGATGATGTATCCCGTCTGACAGGTTAGTGTTATAACTTGTAGGGTTCACAGTTGCATGCAACTACTGGTGCCTTTTTCTTCCCCCAGGTGCCTGTGTAGAACTTTCTAGAACTTTGAAAGTTAGGTAGCTCAGTTCTAACCTGATTTCTCTAAATCCAACACCAATTTCTTTCTTTCTCTATTTATTTATTTATTTGTTTATTTATTTAGAGACAAGCATGTAGCCCAGTCTGATCTTGAACTCAAAATCCTCCTGCCTTAGCTGCCAGAGCTCTGAGACTACAGGTATACACTATCCTGGCAGGTTTAGGGCAAGCATTTAAAAAGCTTGATACTCTTTCTGTTTTTCTCAGTGCTCTCCAGATGCAGAATGATGTAGGGGATGGCCACC